CTCAAGTGGATGCAGGTTCAAATCCTGCTGAAGAACACATTTTTCTCTAAGATTACTTAGCCATTCAGGCAAGTAGACGAAAATGAATATACTATTTAATAAATAGATGGATCATCTCTTCAAATATGAGTATCCTCTAAAAATAATGTTTAAAGTGATAGATTATATATAATCTTTTAGACATATCTGTTGAATAAATTACAGACATTATGTCTTAATTTTTAATAAAATCCGTTCATACTCACAAATAACCTTCGTGTATTGATGTTAAAGGATGAGAGAAATGTGCTATAGCTGTTTAAATTTCTTTTATTTTCATTTCCCAAGTACTTTCGATCTTTTTCCAAGATCATCTTCAGGGGTGCAATTGGCACAAAACTGTTTCTCTCATCCTTTAACATCAATACACGGAAGGGTATTTACAAGCATGAATAGATTTTATTAAAAATTAGCAGATATAATGTCTGTAATTTATTCAATCAGATATGTCTAAAAGAGAATTTGCTACCTAATTACACAAATGTTAATATATATATATATATATATATATATATATATATATATATAATATAAAGAATGAAAGATTTCAGTGTTCAAAACATTAATTTAAAACAGGGCTCAATACAAAAGTAGAGCAATAAATATATATTATGCAGTGTTACATTAAAACATGCACATACCCACTACAAAACTGTACCTCTTGTTTCAATGTTAAAAAAAATATTTAACATTTCATCAGGTGGGAAATCATGATGTTACACCATGATTTCCAACCTGATGAAACATTAAAAAAAATTTTAATGTTGAAACATGATATACAGTTTTTTAGTGGGTATGTGCATATTCTAATGTAACACTGCATAATATATATTTCATTAACTTTTTCCATCAGGGAAATGAGGACTACTCAGTATAGGCCAGTTGATATTAATTTCATTGTTTAATAAATAAAAAAAAAAAAAAACTCAAACAACTGAAAATTTTTATAATAATCTATAATATAAAATGGAAAGCTAATTTTATTCTGTCTGACCAGCAGACAGTGGATTAATTATTGAAGGGTGGACACACATAAATGAGTTCGTGAATAAAATTACACATACATGCACATCATACCCTGGTTATTAAACTGTCAGTCTATCTAGAAAAAGGAGAGAGGATGTACTTTAGTCAAAGTAATACTGCAGATAGAATTGCAAATCCATGATCAACAACTCTGATGGCTTTCTTCGCATTGTGTCAAACTGATATTTTTGCAAGAAACCTTTTGTATGTTGATGTTACCGAATATTACACATGGGACATTAAAAATAACAACTTCAAAAAGACAAATACAGGAGAAACCAATTCCAGGCTACCAGGGCAAAAGAAAAGCTGAAGTTTTGAGCAGGATGTACACAGTGCATCCAAATCAATTTGAATGCTTCTGTTTGAGACTTCTACGTTGTGTTAGAGTACCACAGAGATTTAATGACCTGAAAATATCAATGTCAATTCCATAACATTTTCAGCAATGCATGTCTTGCCCATGGACTCCTTGCGGATGATAACCACTGGAATGCTACATTATAGAAAGTGTCTATATCAGAATTGCTAAGTAAACTGAGACCTTTGTTTGCCATCATGTTGACTACATGTGCAGTGTCAGATCAAAAACAACTTTGGGATGCACACAAAGAATCCTTAAGCAATGATTTTCTTCTTCATTGCTGCAATAAATATCCTGGAGTCAATATACAGTTTTCCTATGTCATCTTCAATATGTCTGATTAATATCAAAGATATCACTTCTCATATTAATGGCAAAACTCTTACAAACTAGTGCTTTATCTCACCTGATTGAACTTATACACATCTTATCAATAATGCATGGAAGCATAAAATTAGTTTTCAGCCACATCAGCAAGAAGAAATTGTTCATGATGATCTCAACTCAATAATGATCAGAGACATATGTATCATGTACTTGATTGTGCAAAAAACAGCACGGTGTGGTCTAATACTCCTTGATGCATCAGGAGGTACATGAAAGACATTTGTTACTAAGCTGATTATTGCCAATGTGAGATCAGAAGGCACGTCATGCCAAAAAGCCGTCACTCCAAAAAGGACCCACACTGGAACAGGCCAATCGTCTCTCGTACAGAGCAGTCATCTCTCGTCATCCTAGCTGGCTCCCTCAACTCCGACTGCCAAAGCCTTCAGACACTCATTTTATAGACCATGTCGAAGCAGCCAATAGGTTGAGTGGGAGAGATTTACATATGTGTAGGTGCAATCCACCAATTCTACCTTCCTCCAACTGCTCTGTGGCACCATACGCATGCAATGCGTGGGCATTTTCAGGCATGATGTTGCGTATTTTGCTCACGACAATCACAGTGGTCTAATACTCCTTGATGCACCAGGAGGTACATGAAAGACATTTGTTACTAAGTTGATTATTGCCAATGTGAGATCAGAGGGCAAAGTAGCTGTGGCTGTAGCTTCCTCTGGTATTGCAACCACTCTACTTCCTGGTGGTAGAACAGCACATTCAGCATTTAAATTGCCATTGTCCTTAACCAGAGATGATAATCCAATTTACCAAATACACAGAGGATCAGATTCTGCAAAAGTTTTACTGAATTGTTCATGGAGTGTATAGGATGAATGTACAACAGCACATAAAGAAGAATCTGAAACTCTAGATAAAACATTTGTGATCTCAAGAGATGTGATGTATTGATGCATGGTATTACACTTTTATTATCAGGTAACTTCCGACAAACGCTTCCAGTTGTTCCATATAGAAACCCCACTGACAAAGAGAATGCTTGCATTAAATCATTGTATTTGTGGAAGGGCATTAAAACAGTAATGTTAAATACTAACATGAGATCCTATCTTAATAAATACCCAGTGGCTGGTGAGTTTGCATCTCTACTACTGAAAATTGCTAAGAGCAACTATGACAACATTGTAATTCCTCCAGGATTAGCATCAATTGTTTCTTTAAAGAAGAACACTGTATCGAAATATAGCAGAAAACTATGTGAATTATAAATGGCTAACTGAGAGAGCAATTCTGACACCTAAAAATGACTTGGTGCACATTATCAATCAACAACTACTCAATGAAATTCCAGGGGAGGAAAAAAAACTTTCTATTCTGTGGATTCAACTTTGGATGATGAACAGGCTGTGCAATAACTTACAGAATTTCAAAATTCCTTAGAATGGCTTGGTATGCCAACACACAAGTTAAGCCTAAAAGTTGGATGCCCTATTATGTTGCTCCAGAATCTTGATGATCCAAGAATTATATAATGGAACAAGACTTAAATGCATACAGCCTCATGTCATCGAAGCTGTCATACCAACTGGTAGAGTAAATGGAGAATTGACTTTCATAGAATAGCCCTTATTCCATCAGATTCTACAACTGAATTTAAAAGGATTCAATGCAGTTTTATGTAGGATATTCTAGGGTAGAATTGGCTGAATCTCTCTACACCTTAGCACCAGGAGACAAAACATCAAACATTTGCAGTAATCCTATATGCAATTTAAAAGTGAGTCTAGGATTAAAATTGCTAACTGATTGTTTATACTGTTCCATCACAGTGTGGTCTGCTTAACAACCAAAACCTACCAAATCTTCTTGCCTTCTAAAATCTAGCCTCTGCTCCATATCCTGGAAGGTGGTAACATGGTAAAGAAGTGGTATTGCTGGGTATATTCAACATATTTGACACGCAGGCAACACTGGGTAGTCCCTGCTAGTAAGAAATAATGTATGATTAAAAAAAAAAATACATTAAAATATTTAGGCATGAAAAAAGATTACTTAAGGTAATTGAGCCAAGACTTATGATGGCCTCCAATGACTAAATTGGTTTGGTTTGTTTACGGCTCATGTTTATGTGGCATTTAATGCCGACAATCTTTTTTCCTGGTAATATTTTTGTTTTGTCAAAAATCTATTTCTGGAAATATTTTTTTCCTCAAAAATGTATAGCTGGTAATCTTATTTAAAAAAAAAATGTATTGCTAGTTATATTTTTTTTTCAAAAGCGTATTTCTGGTAATAGATTTTCTTTTACAAAAATTTATTTGTGGTAATAATTTTTTTTACAAAGTATTTCTGGTATTAAAACCTATTTTTACATTTTCATAAAGCTTTTTACCTCAGTTTCGGAGTTGAACTATTTGCCCATAGCTGGGACCCTAACAGGTGCTACCACCCCACGGCAGATTGGACCTGGGAACACGAGCAATTGAGAGGTGGTTCCATGCTCCTCAAAGCCTCCTGATAAGAGGCCTTGCTGTTGGACGTAGTTTATCATCTTACCCAGGACATGACCTAATTGGTACTGTTACACTTCACACATGCATACACACACACATATATATATATATATATATATATAATATTTATTAATGCCAGGAAAGAATTTGCATTCAATTTTGCGCAAGTGACCATCAAGGGAGATAGGTTGACCACAGACAAATGCTGAGTCACATGATCTCACAGCTACACTCAGTTTTCAAAAAATGCAGGAATGCATGTTAGTGATAGAAACAAACAACATTTTCAGTCATGAGTTGGGTAGTCTTAGTTATTGGAGATGAGAATGTAACGTTCAGATTTTGGACGTGAGCCCACACATATTGGCTGAAATAAAAAGTGATGTTAAAGATGTGAGATTATTAGGTCACAGGTTATTTGATTTACACACACTATATATTCATACACTATATATATATATATATATATATATATATATATATATATATATATATATATATATACGTGCAATATGTGTGTGCGTGTATGCATATTTATGTGTGTGCCTATCAATTACTGATGACCCATGCATGAAATTATTGAGACAATAATTCAGGATATCAATATGCAAGCCTTTAATAGACATTACTAAATCTTTAAGATCCACATTGTGCCCCGTAGCACAGAACAGATTTCTGCTAATTTATCTTAATTGAAATAAACAGGTTACCTCCATGTCGTATGAGATGCTTAAGACATTCCATACTCTGATTGGTTACAGCTGTGTAGACTGCTGTCCGTCCAATGCCATCAACATTGTTAATATTTGCCACCTCATCTCCTTCCAACAGGCACTGCATCAATTCACTGTTGTTGTAGATGGCTGCCTGGTGTATCATTTGCCCAGGCCAGTCATCCAGCGAGTTTCGTTCTTCTGTTGTTGGCTCCTCCCCAGACATCATCTACATTTAATTATTTACGGGCTGCAAGCAAACAAAGAAAAAAATATATCATAATTACTATAGTAACAGACACATTTTATGTGCAAATAAAGCATATTGATACACATCCTTTACATATGACAGGGAGACAAGAGAGAATACAAAAAGAGGAGAGATCTATAAAGGGATGCTGAAAATTTCCCAGACCAACCCATTTCCCAAATCAGAACTGAAGTCTAGTCATTGAAGTGTGTCTGGCCAAGAAGTTTTCAGCATCCCTCATGTATGTATGTGTGTGTATATATATATATATATATATATATATATATATATAAGGGGACATTGAAGTCAACACCAAGAGGCAACAATCTGTTTGATGCTAAACGCAATCGTCAGGCCACATTTTAACATATATACATGTGTTCAGTGAATGTGAACAAGAAAATCCTTGATTGCATTTCTACAAAATGTCAATTCAGTGCCTAGGTGATTTTTAATAAAGAAAACATTAGTATAAATTCTAGTTATACCTCAAGCACTGTTTTATTACCACCAGCACTTATTACAAACTAATTTACATATTCAAAAATGCACACACACACAACACTCTGTAGGTTTTGAATTCAGAGAATTCCTTCTCCTAGACCAGTTGCCATATAGACTATAGAACCCAGTCTGTCCTACTATTTATCCATAGCCAGAGGGAAAAGATAATTCATACCTTTCCCAAGGGTATTAACAAGTTTCTAAGCTGCTATCCACTACTCAACAGTGCCTCATATATAAGAAATTTCCAAGAAGGAAATTTCATCAAAATTGCCCAAAGTTTATTTCAAAAGAAAATCACAGGAGATATAGTCCAAGCTTTCAAATAAGTCATCATTAGGGTAGGTAAAAATAACTGATGAGATTAGCATTTTGAAATGTAACAACTTTTTCAAAATAAACTTACCTACTGTCTACCTACCTTGATGATCACTTAAGCCAGTCAAAGAAAAAAAAAAAAATTGGTACCATATTTCCTGTACTTTTCTGAAATTAAATTTGGATAAGTTCTGATGAATTTTCCTCCTTGTCTTAGGATTATTCAAGAACTACCTTTCAGCTCTATACTTTCAGGCAACTTTAATCTGCAAGAATTTAAATGCAATGCCAATCACTATCTACTGCCATTCTGAATACTCTTTTCTCTTTCTACTCATTACCAATGTTTCTGCTCCAATTCCCCCACACTTAGTAACCCCTTGTATGTACTGCCTTGCTTGTGATGATGCTGATTAAAAAAAAAAAATTATAAAACTAATAATTAAATGTGACAAAGAAATTTTTCTAAGTTTTCTTTATTCAGTTTTTCTAGTGTTCTTCCAGTTTTCTTTCTATGGGGACTAAGAGAGTGTAAGAACCTTGTTTTGATTATTGTCACAAGCCCTTTTGGCCAATTCATTAGCCATTTTCAAGGGACTTGTTAGAACAAACACAGAATAATATACTAAGCGTTTACAGAAGTAGAAGTAATTCTAAGCTGTACTGGATGGAGGTAAATATATTGCAACATAAAAATCAAGGATTGAATCAATTAGGAGACAAGCATTGCTTAGAGCTAAAAAGGCTAGAAAGTTGTAGAGAGCTGTGATCACCTATATCTTGTATTGACATGGCACATAAAAAGATATTTGCATGGAGTACACAGTGGTCAGCAAAATATCCACACTCCTTTTTCTTAACTTTTGAATTTTAGTTTCTGGGGTAATGCATTGTTACTATTAGAGTGACTATAATATAAAAACAAAAAAAATTGAAGAAATTCATCTGTAAAAATTATTGTATAATCTTTTTTGTCAAATAATAAAAAATGATCTGACAAATGAGAAAAGAACATTGAAAACTAGATCAAATGACCAAGAAAAAAGTAATCAGATCAACATTAATTCCAAGAGATTCTAACAATCTTAATTTAAGCCTGAACTTTCTCCTGGTGTGTGTGTGTGTGTGTGTGTGTGTGAGAGTGAGAGGCATGATAGAACCCAATAATAACAAGTGGCTGAAAACACAAAAGGTTTCAAGAGTTTCTGTACACACCCAAGACGCAACCAGCTGTACCTCAAAATCATTGCGTTACAATATATAAACCTGCCAAATTAAAAATTCAGAAAATTCATACTCTTCTCTAATTTTCAAATGCTGACAAAGTTCTATATGGAAACACACACACACACAGAAAATCATTTAAATATTGACAAGCACTTTCTCATTTCAAATTAAAAGAAAAAAAAAAAAAAAAAAAAAGCCTCAAGCAGTGTTACTAAGTAGGATATACATTCCAGTCATGGTATGTGGCTGCCAAGAATGGGTGGGAAATGATTTTTCAAATTATATCTTTCAGTTTTTCTCAAAAGTAAAGCAGTTGCTTCAAAATTTGCTGCTTTTTCCTTTGAATACAACTCTGTAAGATACATATTTTCAGCTACGCCTAGGCGTTCCATTAAGACAGAATACAGAAATACAATTGTCATCTATTCTCAATTACATCAACAAAATACAATACTCGCCAACAGCATGAAGTAGGTAAATGACTGCTAGTGGTGAACTACTTAGACAGTATATTACTCCCACTTACAATAGTGTCCAACATATTTATGAGGTGTGGGACATACCTATTAATGTTCATAGGTACAGTATATAACAGTCTTTAATTGAACTAAGATTAGCTAAGATGAAAAAGTTCATCTTAGATATAAAAAAAAACAAAAAAAACCAAAAAAAAAAACAAAAAAAAAAAAAAAAAACAAAAAAAAAAAAAAAAACAAAACAAAAAAAAAAAAAAAAAACAAAAAAAAAAAACAAAAAAAACCCTAAAAACTATATTATTTTTTTTTTTTTATTTTACACATTAGAATTTATCATAAACACTTATTTTTAATATTTTTTATTCAAAGTTTGCTTGAGTTTTTCTTAATGTTTTATTTATTTTACAGTTTTGCGTTGTTTACAATATACATTTCTTTTAATTTTTAAGTTCTAATGTAAATCATTGTACTTTTCAAATACAGATTAATATTATAATGGATGTTCAATTAATACTTTTCTGATCATATGAAATAGAAATTTTGTTATGAATGCTATCAGTCAGAGAAACCGTAAGGATAAAGAAATAAAATAATTGCTTGTCCAAGAGATCAGATAATTTCAGTATGACTTGTCTCAATTCCAAATAATAAGCAGAGAATGACCAACTGTAAGACATTGTTTCCACCAACATTCAACTGAGAACAGGGTCAGAATAAAGATTTGCAGAATGGGTGGGATCAGAAAATACTAATAAGTTATGTAATACAATCTTTTTGAAATATTTTAAATACTTTCAAGATTGTTTTTATAAAGAAGCAATGCCTTATATACTTGTCAATCTAAACACTACAAGAGAGATATGGAAGGGTGGAGAGAAGCAGAATGAAAATGAAAAGAGGAAAGTAACTGTTAGCATAGAAGTTATGGTTACATTTCGCCAATTCAACTATGAACTGATGAGACCTTTCCACTGATCCAGTACAACACTTAAATTCATATATTCTAAGATCCATAGCAAAGAATTCATCCAAACTATTACCATGAAAGTATTTATGGAAACGGTGTAGGGAAGCTACATACCATAGATGAGAGTGACTGAAGCTGAGATGTCAGGTCAGGACCAATAATATTGCTGATTCGTTGGATTTTATCAATAACCTCTAGATAAACAGCAGGAGCACCAGATGATATATGGTAGCAATATTCAAGACATGGACAAATGGTAGACATATAAATATGTAAAATAGTTTCATGAGAGAAAGACAAACGAGCAAGGCAGAAAGACAAAAAGAGAGAGCAAAAAAACGACAAACAAAAGACAAGCAGCAGGCAAAAGACAAGCGAGCAAAGGCAGGCAAGGCAGAAAAGACAAGCGAGCAAGAAAGACAAACGAGCAAGGCAAAGACAAAGACAAACGAAAAGGCAGCAAGGCAGAAAGACAAACGAGAAGGCAAGGCAGAAAGACAAACGAGCAAGGCAGAAAGACAAACGAGCAAGGCAGAAAGACAAACGAGCAAGGCAGAAAGACAAACGAGCAAGGCAGAAAGACAAACGAGCAAGGCAGAAAGACAAACGAGCAAGGCAGAAAGACAAACGAGCAAGGCAGAAAGACAAACGAGCAAGGCAAACGAAAGACAAACGAAAGCAAGGCAGAAAGAAAACGACAAAAGACAAAAAGACAAACGAAAGGCAGAAAGACAAACGAGCAAGGCAGAAAGACAAACGAGCAGAGAAGAGAAAACGAGCAAGCAGAGCAAGGCAGAAAGACGAGCAAGGCAGAAAGACAAACGAGCAAGAGCAAGGCAGAAAGACAAACGAGCAAGGCAGAAGAAAGACAAGCGAGACAAACGAGCAAGGCAGACAAACGAGAAGGCAGAAAGACAAACGAGCAAGCAAGAAAGCAGGCAGAAAGACAAACGAGCAAGGCAGAAGACAAACGAGCAAGGCAGAAAGACAAGCGCAAACGAGCAAGGCAAAAGACAAACAAGCAAAAGCAAACGAAAGACAAACAAGAGACAAACGAGCAAGGCAGAAAGACAAACGAGCAAGGCAGAAAGACAAACGAGCAAGGCAGAAAGACAAACGAGCAAGGCAGAAAGACAAACGAGCAAGGCAGAAAGACAAACGAGCAAGGCAGAAAGACAAACGAGCAAGGCAGAAAGAAAATGTTTCAAATAATTTTGCAATCACTTTGTACAAATATCAAAATCTTTTCTCAAATGTTCAATACTTCCTGGATTTAAAACTAAAGAAAAACCATTCATCACAAACATGGTTTTCCATGATCAGAACTTCTAATGAAGTTATATAAATATTACAAGCAGTAAAAATAAAATTACACTTGACATGCATTTTTTTTTATCCAATCAAAGCTGTAAGCACAGAAATGCTTCCATCAAAGAAAACACTAGATAATGACCCCAGTTTCAGGCTTTTTTTGGGGGACCATTATATTATTATCCCTAACCTGAGGTGCCTCACAATATTATCAAGATTTGCTTGTTTTTCACCTCATTGCAGAAATACCAGGTAGAAGCTGATGCCCAACACTGGACCTTATCTCTGATATAAATTGGAGATCAGTCAGAAATATTAAGGCTAAAATGAAAAATGACACCCAATATATATCTACAACAGTAGAGAAACAAGATGTGAAGCTGATATTTCTAACCACCACCCTCCAAAAATAATATATATTCAGTATTAAGTCTGCAGGTTAGAGACAACAGATACCAAGTGAAAGAGAAAGAATTCATACAATTAATAAAAAAAGCAAACACATGGTGGATAAGCAGAAAACATTTATGTTAAAATGTTTAATCAGTACAAGGACTGAAATCTCAGTCCCATCTTTAACTGCCAACTAACTGACTGCTAAACTAAACAGTAGACCTAGAGTGATCCTTCAAAGTTGCAAAGATCTTAACTGAACCGCAAAAGCCACACATGTGCCACTCCAAATCAGACATTTTGATGACCAACTTGCTACTACAGAAATCAAAGTTATCAAGCAAAGAAGGGGGAGTCCACAAGCTGTGAGAGCAGAAGTGTGCTAACCACCCCAGCAATCCAAGCAGCAAGCTTGCTGGTTTCCCAAATGGACCTGAACCATTCACTTCATTGTTTTTGTTTGTTTAGTCAATGTCGTGGAATGACTCATCATCCTGTGTTCATAACCAAACACAAAGCATTCAACATGCCTTCAAACAGAAATAGAAGACAACAATCTAAACAATTAGCAATGTTTTCTATTACTATAAATATGAACCATATTATTACTAATTAATGAAATCCACTTGTATGACTGATAAATATAAAGTCACCTGTTTGATAAATATAAAGACAATACAGTTTGTTTTATTTGTTTAACAGCATGTGAACTCCTTATGGGTCATTTAATGACTGAATTTTATTTTCTTGTGAGCTTTGGTATTTTTTGTTTTTCAAAACTGTATTCCTGGTAATTTTTTGTTCTTTCACTATGAAAATGTATTTCCGGTAATTTTTTCTAATGTATCTTTATTTTTTCATGTGTTGATCCCAGTTTAGGGGTTAACTATTTGCCCGTAGCTGGGACCCTAACAAGTCAAGGTGGGACTGGAAACACCAGCAATTAAAAGGTGGTTCCATGCTTCTCAAAACCTCCCAATTAGAGGCCTTCCCGTCGGATATAGTTTATAGTCATACCCAGGACAAATAAAAACAATATCTTCTCATCACAGCATATATTGGAAAGAAATACAAAGTCTTCATAAAATTTTTTTTTTTTTTTTAACTTGTATAATACAGATCTTATTACTTCAAATGTTATTTTTAGTTGATACCCATATTTGAGTAAACCTCCATTTATTTTAAACTGTATTTATTTCTTAACTACAAACAAGATGAAAAAAATCCTAAAAAAAAAAAAAAAAAAAAAAAAATTCATAAGTACTAATATATCTCCCACTGATCCCAGTAAAAAATAAAAATAAAAAATAAAATAAAAAAAATAAAACTAATTATATACTATACTAAATTTAATACAACCAACTTAATCATCCACAATAATTCTTCTCCATAAACTAATGTTTTACACAAAAAACAATATTTCATATTAATTTAAATGTCCTTTGGGAGATTGTATCCCTGACAAAAAAAAGTAAATATATATATATGTTGGTTTCATGACAACTTTATTGAGGAAACTTACACATGTCTGATTCAAGTTCCATAGCCCAGCATTCCAGTTCACATTCACAATACAGAGAAATTGTAATTGGCAATACAAGTATACTCCACCATGAAAATAAAAAACAAAAGCTTAAAGAAAATGTGCCCTCCAGCAAGATTCAAACCTGCATGCCTCTTTGCAGCAGAAACCACTGTCAGATAGAATGTGTTTTGACCGCTCAGCTATGGAGAGCTTCACAGTCAAACAAGGTTCTATTTACATTAAAGCATTCCACTCATTCAGATTTTCTCAAAAGCCAAATCGGCTCAGTTTTATATCTGAAACAAAATCAATTCTTGACAAATCGTATTATTTTTTAATTTGACATATTTTTTATTACTAGATGCTCTGTATAGCATATTTTCTTTAAGTTTTCTTTCAGGCCAGAAGATGAAATAAACACTCTTTAAAAAAAAAAAAAAAAAAAAAAAAGAAAAGAAAGAAAGAAATGGAGTATCTACTCAAATATGGGCATCCACTAAAAATAACATTTGAAGTAATAAAAATATCAGATTAAAAAATAATAATTCATTATAATCTTATTATACAAGCTTAAAGCTATACTTAGTGTATCATGGAAAGAATAAAAGCCCAAAGAAGGAGCTCTATGAAAAACTGCAAAATATGAGGGAATCTCTACAGATTAGAGGACAGGGATTTATTGGCCACATTTGGAAGAGCTTATAAAGTAAATATTTGCGTAGGAAAATATGAAAAATGGAAGAGAAGAAAACTGACTAAATCATGTGAGTCAGCTAAGAGACACATTGGTTTGAAGAATGAAAAACTAGTATATCATGGTAAACAGAACGATGGTAGTGACAGATAAGTCCTATTTTGTCAATGCTTGCATTAATTCCTGACAATATATGTTAATTTTGAATCCGCCATAAGCAGACTGAGCAGTGAAAACTTGCCCAAAGAAATTTTAGCAAATAAATTAATTCCTTAGAAACTACTATAGTTATAATTTCTAAATAAATTACTGGTGAACAGTGGCCAACCAAAACTAAAAATTTCATGTGTTCTCATGCAAACATTAAGCAGTTGGCAACAGTTATTTGTGAAAATAAGTATTTTATGCTCCTTTGGCAAGTTCAAGATGCTCTCTCTCATATGTGTGTGTGTGTGTGTGTGTGTGTGTGTATATATATATATATATATATATGCGTGTGTGTGTTATAAAAATGTAGTTTTAAGGTATGTTATATTTATTAGTAAAAGTGCTTAATATCAGAAAGAGCATCTGTAAACATAGAAGTGGACACTGGTCAACAAGTGGCAACAGTGTTTCAAGCTTCAATGCAGTCTTCAGGCCAGGTGTGTTGTGTTTTAGCTTGACTATAAACACAAGTAAATGCAATAATAGTAATAATAATATTACTAGTAGTTATAATAATAATCAGCTACAAATAATTAAGTAATTAATAAATAATAAGTAAAAGTTAAATAACTGCATTTGGATCCACAATTATTTCTACTCAACAGCATCTACAATAATTTGAAACATGTTACCACCCACCCAATAACCGACAGGATAATACAATAGACCCATAATGCATAACAGACTAGCATATATAAAATAATGAAACCAACCAACCCAAAAAAAAAATAAAAAAAAAAAAACAAAAAAAAACACACAAATGGCCTGAAGATAACTGAAGCATGAAACAAACTCACACCACTTGGTGTTGACCTCAGTGTCCACTAATAAATTGTGTATCTGTAAACATGGGAAAAAAACAAAAAAAAAAACAATCAATAAATAAAAATCTTGAAGCATTTTACTAATAAATCTATATCACAGGTTGGTATACACTGAATTATTTAGTTTTACACATATCAAGAAGCATATATATATATATATATATATATATATATACACACACGTATCTTAATAAAGATAGATTTAAATATATTCCTATCTCTCCCTTCCCTCTAATTTCGATCATATCTGTCATCCTCCTCCACCTCTCTCTATAACCTTATGTCAACTTAAAATTATCCCTCAAAAACTTGTATAAAAATATGGAAATTTTTAAACCATTTTCTTCTATGCTTGGAAATGTGATCTGAGGAACCAGGAAAAAATCCCTTTCCTGGGGAAATAAAATATAATCAATGGACCCTTACGGTTGTCTGTTTTTTAACTTTATATATAACATCATATTTTAATGGATATATATGTTTCAGTAAATGCTTTGCTTTTTAAACATCTACCAGCCTGTATATGAGAGAACCTTAATACAGAAAGAGTGCTCTCTGACAGGATTGAAACTTGCCACCACTTTTGTAGTACTCACTAAAGTCTAACATTTAAGATAAGAAATAATGTCAGATTACCCATTGCTTCACCACAGTTGTAAATTCAGAGTTATCCTCCTACTAGACTTGTAGCCAACCAAGGCCTAGTCTGCTTCAGTCTGTTTTATGCCTTTCTGAAGAACAATAGTACAAAGTAAACACAAACTTCCTTAGCCAGAATTTGAACTATGTACTCTAATTTTTTTAAGGCAAATGTGATTAATGACAGACATTGTGTCTATTAATTGTATTGATTGACATTTCCATATTACAAATAATCCTCCTAGGATACATAGGAGATTCCATTTGAAATTGTAATATCTTTTTGTAAGTTAACAATATTGTTGTATAAGATTTCTATTTTGGTCTGCTTGGTAATTTTGCTGTATTTATTTTGTATATGGCAATTTGGTCCAAAATTTAAAAGGTTTTTGATTTTGGTAAGTTCTGCCATCTTTAATAACATTTGCCTTTAATAACATTAGTCCACTGCAAGTTTTCCTAATTGTAATAATATTCATCTAGTTACAAAATCTACGAAAGATCACCTCCATCTGCAGCATTTTAATCTCACAAAGCTATATTCAAAGCTTTTTTAAATGCTCTATAAATCAGATATGTATGTATGTATGTACAGTGAAACCTGTCCAACTTACGCACCCTCAAAGTTACGTTCTGTCAAACTTACTTGAATTTTGAGGGCCTTGTTGGATTTACTAAAAAAAACCTGTCAGACTTACCATTTGTCAAACTTACGCAAAATTTTTTGGAAAAAAAAAATCATGCCATTCTTCAAAAAAAGCAACTTATGATCGAAAAAAGCCAACTATACTGACAATTGAACAAAAAACAGAAATAGTGGACTATAAAAACAAACATCCGAGGGGAAAAGGCGGCTAAAATCGCCCTGTTTTTCTCTAAAAAGTTCAAAGTTAAGATTGACGGAAGATCTGTCCAAAATTATATAAATTCTAAGAGTAAAATCAAAAGTGAGAGTCATACATTGCCAAAAATAAATCGAACAGGCCCGTAAAATATAAAATTATTGATGACGCTTTATCAAGTTATATTTTTAAGAATAAACTCAAAAAAAGGGTTTTATTGATGATTTTACAATAATCACACAATCAAAAGAAGATTGCACAAGATAATGGAATAGAAGATTTTAAAGCCTCAAATGGTTGGCTCCAGAGCTTTAAAAAAAGACACAAACTGTCTCTCAAACCTCTACATGGAGAAACATACTGTGAGGAACCAAAAAACCACGATGAATTTCTTAGCCAAATTGATGAAAAAATCCGCATCTAACTTAGTAATTTATGTTTGTTCAAAAAGAGCGTGGATGACGTCTACTATTTTTTCTGATTGGCTAGATCAATGGTGTCGGAGTTAACTCCTCCTTCAGTTCGTAACCCTTTCACCAGGGGTCTCTCTTTCCTGGCTATAAATAGCCAATGACCCTTCGCCTTGATCTCTTTTTTCCTTTCAGGCCTGTGAACCAACACCTCGAGGTAAATTTCTCTTATTCCTAGAGGATTTCAACTATCAACCTCGAAATGTAGTCGCTAACAAGGAATAGCGTGGAAACACGCTAAGCACAATATACACACACGCACGCACACACATACATACAGAATATTCACACACACTTCGTCCGTTGTACTGTTTCCATGTATTGTAACTTGTTAATAATATATATTTGTATATACATATATTATCAGTCTTGTTTTGTTTGCTTTCTTTTCCTTCTTCTTTGGACTTAATCAAAGTCCAACCTTTTTATGTAGTTGGGCTCGGCGGACAGGAGTATCTGAACCTTGCGTTTCTTCTACGTCTGACTTCTATCAACAACATAACAGTCACGCCATGAACCCTCAACAAACCGTAACCGCCACGGCCCACTACAATGGAATCAAGATCTTGTTCGTTTCAACAGAAAAGTTGTACTTTTGCTTGACAATTGTCCAGCTCATAAATCTCTAAAAAATTATTCTAATATTGAGCTTGTTTTTCTCTGGATATAGGAATTATTAAGTCCTTCAAAAGCCATTTCAATCGAATTAAATTTGATAAAATCCTGAAAATGATTGAAGGTGATAATAGTGTTTATGAGAGCTATAAAAAAATAAATCTTGCTGATGTGATCACTTTTACGGATATGGCATGGGAAAAAGTGAGTAAAAAAGTGATAAAGAATTGTTTTAAACACCTCAAGGGAGAAAATAAATACTGACACCGATTTTAATGTCAATATCGACGAAGAACACCTCGAAGACTACTCAAAATTACGCAAGGTTTATCGAAAAAGGGAAAATATTAGATGGGTTAGATTTAAAGGGCTTCAATTCAATAGAGTACACCGAAAATGATGAAATTGAAGAGGAAGTTTATGAGATAGAAAACTCGAAAAATATCGACAATATTGGGAGTAATGAGTTAGAAGAAGAGATTAAAGAAACTAAAACACCTATAATAACACACAAAAAGTCTTTAGAAGTTATAGAAGAACTTTTATTATACATTTCCCAGCGTGAAATGACACCGGATGACTATAGTTTATATAAATCATTAATCAAGAAGAAAGCAAGTATTAAGAAAGAAAAAGTTGTCCGAATACAGAAAACTTTATTTGATTTGGATTTGGATTTTATAAAATAGATGAATGTCTAGGGGTTATAGATTAGGTGAATTTTCTCTGATGAAACTTACCAAGATATAGATAGATAGATAGATATATATATATATATATATATAGATATATATAGATAGATAGATAGATAAATAGAATATGATAGATGATATGTATATAGATAGATATAGATATAATCATGTATTTGAAAATTATAACAAAAATAGTTATAAAATCATATAGATAGATAGAAAATAATGAATTTTGTTTCAACATAGATCTGGTATAAAATTGTCTAGATAGATGAATATAGATAGATGATAGCGTCAATGGATAAGACATATCTATTAGATGTTGAAACAAAATATATACTTTTCGTAGTGATTTGTATTTGACCGTTTTATAAAATTATAATTTTTTCAAATTTTGTGTTGTCTCAATGATGACGTCAATGGATAATTTGAAACAAAATCTATTTTTGTAACCCTACTTTGTATTGAGAACTCTTTTAAGAATAGTATTTGTTGGTTATTGGAATTTATTCCACATACACCAATCCTATACTTGTATGTGTATGTATATATAACATCCATAAAAACCAAAAGAGATGGATTGATTTGTTTTTACAGCTCAACCTTTCAAAAGAGATAGAAACCAATATATTATGAATATAAAAAAAAATAAGCCAAGCACTGATTCATTTTCAAGCACCAAGAATAACACACTACATTCAGTACCCAGTGTTATATACCAAAACAACTGACCTTCTCTAGATTGCTTTCAAGAACAGAAATGCACAAAACCATGGAATTCAATTGGCAGGTCAGTCAGTAAATACGAGTCAAAGCAAACATTAGAAAGGGAATGGCAGGATTTGTTTTAATTGTCCATGTATTCAGCAAATGAAACAAAATACAATTTAAAAATAACTTATTCATAAAACATTTAAATGAAATTAGTTTTTAGATATTACTTTATTTCTTTAACTTGTTATTTACTAAGCTTAACATGGCACAAGGCCAAGTACTGGGAATTAGGTTTAAGGAGAATCTGTCATGCCAGTCTTCCAAGTGGTTAGAACCTGCTTGATGGGCTCAAGCATTATCCCCCAGCACAGGCAGCACATACATAAATAGATCACTAAATCAGTAGCCTAACAGCTAAATTTTGATTTACAAGTTATTTTCCATCTTATACTTCTAAAGTGTGTATTTGACAACTTATTGTGTGACAGTATTTTAGTTAATCTTTCTCTAAATAATTTCAGCTTTCCTTATAGACTTCATCAGATTATCTTGCCCTAGACCAGAGGTCAGCACCCTTTTGGAGAGCATGCCAGACAGCTATGAAGTGTTTCGGAGGAGAGCCATGACATTAAATATACTATAATAAATTGTCTCAACCACAGATCACTCCATCCAGAAGGACGCCTTGGTATGGAGCTTTAAAGAAAAACAACAAAGTTAATGTTATATTATTTAAACAAGGTTCCTTATTTTACTGCAGGAATAACAGGATAGCAGCTGACACATTCAACAGAAAACGCAAGTTCTTTACTATGGTTAAGTTGGTGGGCCAGACAAAAATCCTTTGTGGGCCAGATGTGGTCTGGGGGACAGAGGTTGCCAACCCCTGCCCTGTACTCATCCAATGCTGCTATGGTTGCTGTAGATATGGTTCCCTTAGAACTGGGGTTATAAAACTCCTGATGAGAATTGATACTGCAAGGATATGCCGATGTCACAAAAAGTGAAATCAGGGAGCCAAAATAAAAAAAATAATAAGAAAGTCAATCACAAGTCATGCAAAGAGGACAGTTTCAGCAAACAGAATTAAGGCAGTAACAATTTGACATGGATGCCATGGTGAACGATCACGGCTCTCCACAACTCCCTGTATTTTGTGGCTCTTAGTAAAGTGTGTATTTTTGCTATCTCTTCTAAGCCCTGTTCTGCGATCAATTACACAAGCCCGTTAGGTAGGTTATTTGCTGCTTTCATCTGTCTCTTGCTTTCAGTATGTTCTGTGAGTATTCAATTCTCCAAGCCCTCTTTCCTCATTATGTCTGATAAAATTCAATTATCTCTTCTTGTTTCTAAGTAGAAGCGTCCTTTTTGTTTCCAATTTCCCTAAAACTTCTCACGTACCCATGTTATTTGCAGCATCCTTCTGTAAAACCACATTTCAGTTGCCTCAAGTTTCTTTGCCTGTGAGGAATCATACAGCATTCACTGCATTTAGCAGGACCAATAAAAAATAAGTTCAGTTCTTTTTTCTTTATTTCTAATGAAATATTCCAGAGATCTCTCGATCTCCCAATATGCCTTCAAATATCGGTATCACATTTTCTGCTCTGTTAAAACATTTCCTAGGGATTTAAATTTTTGTTCCTTGTTTGATTTTGCTATTTCCAATTTGTAGTTCACATCTTGGGCTGTTCCTTTTGCTTTACTAAAAACTTTTGCTGTCTTCTTACAACTGGTGTTTAGTCCTTTCTTCTTTTTCATTTACTATCTTCTGTAGGAATTCCTGTATTTTTCTTTCTTTGTCTTCTACCAGCACTGTGCCATCTGCATATCTTATGTCATTAAGATTATGGCCGCCAAAAATGTATCCCAACAGGACTTCTAATTCTCTCAAGATCAACTCATTGTATAGGTTGAATAAGTCCAGTGAGAAGATAGATCTTTATGCCCCATTTTAGTTTTGTATATTTAATGAATTCATTTTCTATCTAGAAGCAGGCAGCTTGATCTTCATGTATGTTCTGGATCATTCTAATATCTTTCCCAATGAGCCAAGCTTACCTAGCAGTTCAAACAGTTCTTCGACATCTGTTGTCAAATGATTTTGCATAATCTAGAAAACATAGGTATGTAGCAGACCAGGTAGCATGCAGTGCTGGCCTACGAAAAGGTGGCCTTGTGCCAGACACTACTCACGACTACCGAATCCACTAACAAAGTAAAAATAATAAATGTGTGATCTTTAGCAAGGAAAAAGGGTCATTCGACACATGCATAAAAACAGTAAAATATAGATAGCCAGGAGGAAACGACGAAAACGAGTCTGGTGGAAGACAAACCATAAAACTTTATTTTAATAAATATTTTGTCTCAATGAGTAGTCAGTAACAGAATGTTGATGTTCTGCGCCAAAACGAAAATCAAAATGGCTAAGGCGGGAAATGTTTCTTCAGAAGGAAAGTTCTGGAACAGAGTCTTCTTATACAAAAGGTACATGCATACACAAACAAAATACTCACTGTGAGGTTTTATAATGTGTGTGTAATGTTATCTTTTTTTTTTTTTTAAACTGGTTCGTAAAGGTTAGAGTTTCAAAGAGGTAAGTGAAGTTCATCAAATCGGCCATGTCAAAAAACTCTACGTTTGCTAATAGTGAACGGAGGAAAGTTCGAACAAGTTGTTCACAGAAGGACGATGAATTAGTCTTTTTTTAAGTGTGATGACGACAGTGTTGTAGACTCTACATTCTCCGGTAGAAAATGGAGGAAGTTTCAAACATGTTGTTCGAAACAATTTACAATCACAGGAAAAATATTCGGCATAATGAACCAAGGAGTCACTAGGAAGTTTTTGATTAGTTAAGATATTCCAGCCCGCGTATGGGTAAGGGGCACGAAATAAATGAGTCGACCTTCTTCTGGAAACAGGCCGCGACTGACTTGAAAAACAAAGTTTGTCAGTGACGTCAGAGAAATGTGCGGGAAAACTTCAAATTCCATTCTAGCTGGAATCAGGGGCAGCGAGCCACCTCACGTCAGCAACAAACAGGCTGGTTTACTACTATGACTAGCCGAACGTGACAGGAAGGGTTGCAATCCGCGTACGCACATAAAAATAGTTGGGATCCCTGCGCAATTCCACAGGTATACATCACTCTACATTTGTATTACTATTTCTAATATCATTCTGATCATAAATTCCTTTTTCAAGTGTCTTTAACAAAACCACAGTATTCCTGTTCTATTTCAAGTTTAATTCTACTATGAGCTATATTCATTAGAATTTGGATGATAGGTTTCATTATGTGGCTCATTCAGCTGATTATTCAATGGCATTCACATTTATTTGTACTTGGCTTCTTATACAGCGTGATGAAATTGGATCTACTTAAATCTTTCGGTATATTACCAATGTCATATATGTTATTTTTATAGCTGACAGATGGCACAGAAATCACATATCACTGGAATGTGGTCACCCCCACAGTCAGCACTTGGGTATGTTTTAAAGTGTAAAACTACATTCCTGAATCTCTTATTGACTGTTTCTAAGAGCATCTCTCTGTGTCCATAAACATCTTGGTGTTTGTGAAACCAGGTGTTGGCTATTATCTGGTCATTTGCTGTACAAAATTGGACCCATTTTTCTCCATCTTCGTCATGATTTAATTTGTCAACAATTTCACTATCTCCCTCCTCAACATTAGCATTCAGGTTTCCTATGACAATTGTAATTTCCTGTGATTTGCACTGAGTCTTGATGTTGTCCAGTTTTCAGTAAAACCTTTCATTTTCTTCCTTCATACTTTGTGTTGTCAGTGCAGATACAACTACAATGGATACATTAAAAGGATTCCCTTTCATTTTAACTACAAGAATCATATAAATGACAGTATCCTCTCTAAACATTTTAAATAAAAACAAGAATTCAACAAGTTTTGCACTAAATAAACAGAAAATATAAATAAGTCCACAAAAGAGGTGTTGTAACCTAGGGAAGGTTACTGAATAGAATAATCAAATGAAGGCTAGTAATGAACAATAATACTTAGGACAAGAATAACACATATAAGATTTGCCAGCAGCAACTGCTAGAAGTGAGTCAAGTGAATTCCACAATGAATCTCCAACTGCAGGATATCTACCAACCACCCCATGCAGTCAGATGTAGCACAAGTCCGAATTTAATGCGGAGTACCCAAGCCCATAAACTTGGCCAAAAATTCCCTGTAGACACTGTATAAAATAGGTTTGGGTAGCTGTTTCCTGAGACAAGACTCTGCCCTTCAACATAGCTTCATCTGGGAATCCTCTCTGCCCAGAGGCAGAGAGTTTGACCAGCACAGCTGGAGACAAATCTCCAACTGCAGGCTAACATACAGTATTTATTACTATATTTATGAGAATGGGAACATACCCATTATTGTCTGTAGGTATGCTACAAGAGTGGATGTGT